CTTGAACATTTGCAGCACAGGAGAGGGGCAAAATCACGCTGGACGGGGATTCGAAGGACTCGACATGCCAACAAAGAATGACTTATTACAGACAGTTTAGATATCAAGTTTGCTTCGACCTGGAAGGAACTTCATGGTTGGTAATCCATTTGCAAGTATAATTACACGTTAATCCCAGGAACGCATATGGACTTCTTCTAGTGGCCCTCCAAGGTTAACAGCGTCCAAGAGAGCTTCAGCCTTCAGCGAAGTGATTCTAGAACTAAGTAAGAGAGCAGTTTTTCTGGACGGTAAAAGAAAACGCCAGAGAAACAAAAGTGGATGAAGAGCCTATAAAAAATGGTCCATTCGTCAGAAATAAGATACCCATTCTGAATTGGAAATATCTCTGTACTGACTACCGTTCTTGAGTGCGAAAAACCTATATGAATTATACATATCTTACCTGCTCTCTTCCAACTCTTCCCACCAAGCGTCACCATTCGCAATGAGCTCGGCATTTGCCTCCTCAGCGGTCGGATTGTACGGGTCTGCAAAAAAGCTCACACAGTAAAATAAGCCAAGTCTCTCAGTATCAGAAGAATGGCCCACGCTGATCATGTGGGACACCCACCCTACGTCCCTCCCACATTGGAGCGTCTTTCCTCACAGTCATACCAGAAAGAGGTTACCAATGAGGAGGGCATAACGGCTGAGCGTCTCCGCGGAAACGACCAGCGTGGACTGTGCCTTTAAGAACGCTACATATTATATCAGTACGACTCACAGACTAGTTCAGAAGGTTGAGGAGCCGCCACAACAGGTGCTTGAGGCTGAGGTTGAGTGTAAGTATAAGCCACCTGTGGCTGCTGTTGCGGCTGTTGATAAGCGGCCATCTGATTGTACGTCGCAACTGACTGGTCAGCAATCTGTCAAGGAAATTCGAGTAGAAACAAAATGGAATGCGAACAAGATAGACTAGGTAAACTTTCATGTCCTTCCGTACCCAACCCCCCACCTCCAATCCTATGTCACGTCACTCAGTAAAATTGAGTCAGCAATAGCTCGCAACTTTTTTTCTCTCCTTCCCTTTTGCTTCAGCTTTCCAAGAATTAGACAAATCATTTTTTGACATGTTCTCATGGCCTAAATTGCATAGTCCGGCCTGGTGGGGGTACCAGATGGCACTCAGGAAAACCTGTAATTTCCTGTGAGTAACTCACTGGCTCACTTAAAGGCACGGTTCGCGATCGTGTATTGAAGTTGAAAATATGGCGTCAGGAGGTTAGAGTGGTCCGCGACGAACAACCTTGTACCGGTTTCGCGGCAAAAAATTCTAAGGGAGGGGCGCTATAGCGCAATATAGGTTCAGTGGTTCCTCCTTTTTTCCAGTGACTCCGCCTCCAGACTCCGCCTCCAATGCCCGGCTTTCAGTGAAAAACGAGATTGCAGGACGAAAAAGCATGAAAATCGTCACTTGTACGATCGTAGAGTTCTTATCGGTGAATCAGCTGTGCGTATGAGGGCGCATGGCAGATAGAGTTAATTGTGGACGTACGAACTGGGATTAAAATGGGAGATGGCGAATAATCGCGGGTTCTGCCTTTAAACAATTTCGCAATACGCAAGAGCTCACAGGTCTGAACAAAGTGAGACTTGTTAGTCAACATGTGCTGACAAAAGGACGTAGCGTAAGTGCAGACTGCCTCCTCCTAGCCGATCAGCGTCAACCCCATCAAGCCGAACCATGCTAAGTTTCGAGGCCAATGGAGTTGAGAGGGAGCAGGGCAGGCACTCTGTTTGCCTATCTCTTTGTCTCCAAAACCAAAGTTGCACCGAAAGGAAGGCTGCTATCCCAAAGGGAGACATAGACGAGCAGAAAAAAAGAGGTTAGTCGTGTGGTCGCCCCCCCCCCCCGCGAACTCCCTTAGCCTCAGAACGGTTAGATAAAACTTTTCACTACATTTCGTCAAATGGCAAAATGGTAACAACTCACTATCTGAGGCTGCATTCCATCTCGAATCTGATGCCGTGGCAATCGCTGTTTAGCTGCTGCCAGCTTGAGTACAATTTCACGTCCTCGTACAACCGTTTTATTCATCTCCACCTAAACTAGGAATTACAAACTTATCAATTCCCGTTAACGATTTATAATAAAACTAATCAGTTTTTCATAGCAATTCGGACTTGCTTCCAGCACCGGGTACGAAATAACCATTAACATGAAAGGACCATGTGAATGGTGAACGCTTCGTGCCACCCCCTCCTCCCCCAACAAGGACAGCAGAGAAACTGAAAACTCAGAAGCACCAATAAAAGCCGCAACGAACGCAGGTACTTTTCCTCTGACATCGTTCATGTAGGATCGCTGCAGTGACTAATGATGGACAAGCACATGCGACACTTTTGAGTCCTTAGACGTCGTACGGCCCATTTCGTGAAGGTGAACTTACAAGCCTGCGCACAACCATCGTGTATCTCAATCCTCGAATGGTCTATCATGGGTTTGGGAAGAGGTACCACCTCGCGCTTAAAGAGCTTAGGTGCTAATTGTTGTGTTTCGGACGCGCTTTTCACCTTCCCCAAGGCGGAGGTAATATCGTTGCGAGTGGTTACGCTCATCACGTGAGCTGTCAGTGGTCGAATCTCGGATCGGGTATCGTCCAGGCCACCCAAAGCCGAATACCCTCCTCGGGGACGGTAAATAGAAACCATATTACTTGGAGGCCATAAGTCCACCGCGGACAGACACACAAATCATTGTCGCATTGGATATCGCCACTGACAACGCCTGTTTCAAGTTCAGTGAAAGAAGAAAGCGTGCTCATGCTCATAAAGGGATGATCAGGCAGTGAAGCTACACTTTTACGACCGTCTATCCTTTGACAGCAGTTTGGGAAAATTGGGTAAATTGATGTGGGTCGTACCAAACGGCCTCAACGTCCCGAGTCCCTCGCCCTGGCATTAGCATCAGAGGAGTGGGTGCAGTCTAGTCCGAGTGGATGCCCACCCACTCTCCCTAACTTCGTTGGTAGCCAAAGCTAGGCAAAAATCAGGTTTGACATATGCCTATCCCATTTTTCTTGTCACTCCGACAGAGATGTATAGCGAAACACCTTCCAACAAGAAATGCATTACAAAAGTAAGAATTTCCGTACCAGCGCCATTTGTTGCTCCGTTTGATCACCAAAACGAATGAATCCAAGACATCTTGATGTTCCATCGCGATTACGGTAAACCTTTGCTCCACGACAGGAACGATATCGAGCACCGAACACTTGGTAGAGGGCAGCATCGTCAAGGTCCGGGTGGATGTTGTTGGCAAAAAGATTAAATTCAATCGACCTAAACACAACATGGTTCGTACATTGCCGTTTGGGACAAGAAAAAAAACGAGTATACTCACGGGACTCTTGGATCATTCGCAAATGAAAGATTGAACCGGGAACGTGGTTCACTGTTCGCAATCCTATGGCCGTTTGCCCTCAACATCGCATCCCGTGCTTGCTCCGACGTTTCAAATTCCACAAAGCAATAGGCGCAATTCTGAAATAAGAACACCAATCAATGCATACTGTTGTTCAGAAACCGTGTGATCATCAACTTCCTCAAAAGCATGACAATTTGATACTCGGTCTATAAATGGTAGCAGGGGTGCTATACAGTGGAAAAATGGCGAAAAAGCGAAGTGAAACGGTCAAAAACCTGAAAAACTTTGTTCTACACGACTCAGAAAGCTATTTCGGACGAGCTTCCTGCTGGAGTCGGGCCAATAACCGCTACGGTTGACGGGTGCATGAATGTATTCATATCCCCATGCAGAATCGCAGCTGCTT